TCCTTTACTTGCTCATTTCTCTTCATTACTAGTGTCTTCACCATTAGTCACAACATCAACAACCTTGGATGGAGACTTGTTCTTCGACGACTCTTCTCAATCTCTCTTTCCATCTTTAGTAACTAGGGACTAGCGACCCCTCTTTATCAAATCCTCGATTGCATTATTTAGCTGGATGCAGTCATTGGTGGTGTGGTCATGGCTCCTGTTAAGGTGGCAATACTTCATTTTTTTCGGTCTTTGAGGATTCTCTAACATGGAAGTGGTTTTTGGTCCCAACTTTCCGGATTTTAGTGATGGAACACTCTTGGTATATCTTCTCTCAGAAAGCATTCAAATGAGTGTACTTGTCATACCCACTGTGGGTCCCGCATCTAAATCTTCCCTTTGTTTGTTAGAATCCTTTTTGGATGGTTGGCTTGAACCTGCATACAGTGTTTTAAAAACCAGACCGGGCATCAAACCAATGAGGGTATTAGGTCACTGGTTTATTGGTCAAACCACTAGGCCACTGGTCGAACCACATGACTAAACTAGATTAAATCGGATAACTCGGTTGAATAGACCAGTCATTATAAAAAAACTATATAGGTATAAAACCTGTCGAACCAGATGATTCAGTCCCTACAAAATATAACTAGCACTTACATTTTTTGAAAATATCATATTATTAATAAACTCACAAGTTCATAATTTAAATTCACATTTTAAACATAGACATCACATATAACAAAATAGTACAAAACTATAAAGTCTAATTGAAACATAATCTAATTGAAACATAATCTAATTGAATAGTTTATAACAAAATAACTTCATTGTCTACTAAATTTAGTTTCAAGGAGGAAAATTTATTTCAATGTTGAGATCTCTTTCTTCAATGTCAAAACCACCTGCAATAAAATCAACTGCATCTGCAATATACTTTATTTTAATTTTTTATTAAAATGATCAAAACGACGTTGTTTTTATTTTTTAAAATTAAAAAATAAGCAATTAAAACACTGGTTTAAGAAAACCGCCAGTTTTTCCAGTTTTAGTGGTTTACACTAGTTTTTACCGGTTTGCACCGGTTCAACGACACATCTGATCCAGCAATTGAACCAGACCAGTTACCTGGCCGATTCTCGGTTCGACCGGTCCGACCAGCCGATCCTGTCCAGTGTTTAAAACATGGCCTGCATCTATTGCTGCCAAGCTATCCCCTGGGTGATAAGCTTTTTTTCAAGATTAATGACGGATTATGTTGTGTTCAGTAGCTCTTTGCGCCCGAAATTTTCCCTGAAGGAGCTATTCTGCTTCAATTGGTTCTAAAAAAATCCAACACTTGAGACTCTCGTTGGCACCTCTCACTTCCATAATTGCTTGTGTGAAATAGATGATGTACGACCACAAACTCTTCTTCTTCCCCTTAATGATTCCGACGAGGAACGCTATTATCGCTTGTTGCCTTTTTTGAGCCGTGAAATAAGCAACGAAGTTCTCATACATATCGGTCCACAAATAAACACCCTTGTCCGGTAGAGCTTGGAATTAGAGCCTATGTGATCCCGTCAATGTTAGTGCAAATAATTTACACTTTTCCGCCTTATCAGTGTGGTAGTAATTCAAGTGGTCATCAACATGTTGCTCATGTTCTTTAGGATCTCCTTTTCTGTAGTTAACCTTAAACTTTATAGGTTTCTCTAAAGATTTTGGTATTTGACGATTGAGGACATGGATACTTCTGTTGGTTCTTCATCAATTGTTTCTCTACCTTTTCCTCGTTGGGGAGTTTGATGTTTCTTGCTATTTTGATGATTTAGAGATCTTAGAACCACATCCTGGTGCAGTGTGAATATATTATGGACGATTGTTTGATTACTTCTAGAGGGCTTCATGCACAGTGTTACCTTTTGGATTCATGTTGTGTAGACTTTATTCACGACAAAACAACCTTTCTTCTATTGCTTGCAAGTTTTTCTATTAAACTATGTTATACATGCTTTTCAACAATTCATTCGCGACTTGCACTCTAAGATTTTCTTGTAATTACTTGAATCCAGGAAGTGTCTTTTGTCTCGATGTTTTCGACGATGTTGGAGGTATGATCAAAGGTCACCTTGCTAAAACTACAGAACTAATCCTATGACAAATGAGGTTAAATAAGCTGGATGTAATGGAGTGTTCACAATAACATAAACTGCACTATTTTAAGGAGGAGAGTGGATCTCTTGCGGTTTGAGCAGCAGTGGCTGCTTTGCACAAAGCAATAGAGCAAGTAACTTTATAACTAACCAATATTGTAAGATTTAGAAGTTTAAAATTTGGTAAATGAAAATCAGAGTTGATCTGCTATCATAGTAGATCGAAAACTAATGATATAAGGTTTAATATCAAGACACCTTATTTGATAGGTTGAAAAGTTTCGATTTAATGAATTGAGAGGTAGTATTCAATTGTGGCAAACACGTAGATACCAGTTTCCATAGACGATGCCAGTGTTCTATTAAGGAACCATAATTGATAAGAGTTAGAAGGTTTTGAGAAGCAACATTAGAGTTGAGCTTCTGGTGCAGTGAAAGATGCGCTGACCTGCAAGGTGATCACACTTATGCTCAAGTCAGTACAAGTGAGATGATTGAATGAAATTTTAATATGAATTGTACATGGAAAATGGTCTGCTTCTTACTTATTTAATGGAGTTGTTATAACTATTTGCCGATCTTCAAACGTATGATACATGGAACCATTATATGGATCCTGACTTCATATCGCCTTTAGACTTACCCAGAATAATACTCATACTCTATGTGTTAATGGGTGAATTTTCACAATCTCTAAACCGCGATTGTTAGGCCTCCTAATCGGTCCATAACACACACGCACAAGCCCCAGCATGCGTACATATATATATATATATATATATATATATATATATATATATATATATATATATATATATATATATATATATATATATATATATATATATATATATATATATATATATATATATATATATATATATATATATATATATATATATATATATATATATATATATATATATATATATATATATATATATATATATATATATATATATATAACACTTAATTTCAATTTTAGTGACTATTTTATCTTATTCGAAAATATATTTCTCTATTTCAAAATCACTTAATATTAGTTATAGTCTAATTTAGAATTTTTATATATCAAAAGCAAATTGTTTTCATCTTTTGTCATTTTTTTCTTACTTAAAATTAATTATGCATTTTATTTTAATGAAGTTTTAATTGTGAAATATGACAAATTATTAAATAATATTTTTGTAAAATAAAAAAAAAAAAGTAAGTTATTCATCTTTAAACAAATGTACACAATGTCAATTATAAGTCTAATAATGAGAAGTAAAAAAAATATTTGTCAACCTTTAAAAATAAAAAATATAAGTAATTATAATTGAAAATAAATATATATTATTGATTTTTAGTGCAAAAATATGATAAATAGATCAAAAGTGCTTAGAGCATGATCATCGGTGTTCTTTGAGAGTTCCTACACATTTATTAAAGAAATTGTGTCAATAATAAATAGATATTTTACTTGTTTTCACGTTCTTGAATTAAAGCACGTCATCATACTAAAACACGCTTCTACACTCTAATTAAGTGGGTCATGATAATAAATTAATAAATAAAATTACAAGAATGTAGTTGATTTGTTTTAAATGTGGGACCCATTTTAAATTTTTTGATGAGTTACATGAATATTTGAGAATTGTAGAGGAATTATTTAAAAAATTGAGAAGTGTAAAATAATATAAAAAAGTATGTGGATCCCATTTAAAGAACTCAAATGAGTATGATGAATGTGAATGCTCTTACGGTACGGAGAATAATTTTTTGAATCAAATAAAATATAGAATAAATAAGTATATATAAGCTTTCAATCAACAATAATTATCCTATCATTAATATTTTTTTTTTTAAATATTTAAACTAAACTACTTCTACATCAATAATGTATCACAATTTAACTTCATAAAATATTTATAAAAGTGCAAGTTTTATAAAGAGATAATATATTAGTTGATAACGCAAAGATCAAATTTAAAAGCGCAAGTTTAAGTTTGTACTACTCAACTTATTATTTTTAAAAATGAAAATTTAACTAATAAATTATTGAAAAAAAGAATTTGTATTTATACCGTCAATCAAAAAAAAATTTTAATTAAATTATATTTTCATTTTTAAAAAAATTAAATGACATAATAAATATAAGAATTTTAATTGAATATATATGTAAAATTGATTTATACTATGTGTGCATTGTCTTTAAATTCTAAACTATTCATCTAAAAGAACATCCAAAAAAATATTTAGACATTGTCTTAAATATTATATTACATTAAAATAAACATAAAATCTTTAAAATAATAATATCATTATATTCTGCACTTCATCACATATATATTTCTATATATTTGTATTTGTGTATGAGTTTTAAGTGATATGCTATCCTTAGTTTCTATTAAGAAGTATAGAAAAAAAATGATGTATATAAAGTATTTTTACACAGTTAACTAATTACTATTATGGAGTATTTTGAATTACATTGAATTGAATTAGTATTATTTCAAAATTTGAAGTAACTGAAGTATTTAAATGATGATTTAGTTGAAGAAATAAAAAAAGATTATGCAAGATAATTGAAGTATATTTAATTTTGAAATGTCCCTTACCCACGTCAGCAAAGCAACCCTTCACCATTCTCTTCTCTCAGTCTGATTTCATTCATTCAGCAATGCTTTTTAACGTCCCATCACCCATCTCTCTCTCCCAAAAAATTCTCCATTTTTTCTTTCTCACTCTGAAAACAAAACCCCAAATCCAAACAAAACGCTCCTCATCTTCCCCGTGAAAACTTAAACACACACTCTCTCACTCACAGCATCAAAACACCACAAACGTTACCCTAATTTCAAAGAAACTTCTAGAACTTTCTCTATCATCATCATGGATTCATCATCAGCAGGAGCATCATCTTCAGAACCTCCAACAACTTCTCCTGCGGTTACTACCGTAACCACCGTACAAGCGGAGGGATCTTCACCACCACCACCACAAGCTCCACCAAGCCGTTACGAATCTCAAAAGCGCCGTGACTGGAACACTTTCCTCCAATATCTACAAAACCACAAGCCACCATTGACGCTTGCACGGTGCAGTGGCGCGCACGTGATCGAGTTTTTGAAATATCTCGATCAGTTCGGGAAGACGAAAGTTCATGTTTCCGGTTGTCCGTATTTCGGACATCCGAATCCTCCCGCTCCCTGTGCCTGTCCTTTAAAACAGGCATGGGGAAGCCTTGACGCGCTGATCGGACGACTCAGGGCGGCCTACGAAGAAAACGGAGGCCGTCCTGAATCGAATCCGTTCGGCGCAAAAGCTGTGAGAATTTACTTGAGGGAAGTGAGGGAAGGACAGGCGAAAGCTAGAGGGATTCCTTATGAGAAGAAGAAGAGGAAGAGAACTGCAGTGACAGTGTCAGCTGTGAGTAGTAGTGGTGGTGGTGCTAATGATGATAGCGGTGGGGATAACGGTGGTGCAGGTGATAACACGGTTGTTCTTGTTGGTGGTGGTACAACTACAACTGCAACTACAGCCACTACAGCTAATGCAAGTACTTCTTAGTACTGCCACCGCTACCACAGTATAGTAATCTTAATTATATTTATTTATTTTTCCTCATTTTTTTCTTAATTTTATGTCTTTAGTTTTTAATTCTAAGGAAATTAATTGTGATTAAAGCTTATTATTATTAAGTTACATATTTATTATTATTAATAATATTATTATGCCTATTTTCCATCAAAGTTTAGGTCCATAGATGTTATTATTATTATTATTTGATTATGTATGTTTTAACTCAATTTGCATGATCATTCCCTTCCATGTTTTATTAATCAATTGAGATTTTAAATTATTAGCATCCTCTTTCTAATATTTCATTTGATATGTTTTTGTTTCTTATTGTTTTGATTTTGTTATGAAGGTGGAGTGAATGTTTTTTGAATAGTAACTCAATGCACTATCACTATGGTGGAGTTTATGTTTATATAAATCTTATTATCATTGGAATTTGTTGTAGGAATGAACTAATTGTCAGAATAAAAAACTCTCAGCATTTTTTATTTTGATTTAAAAAACTCATATTCTTTGTTTTTTTTTGGTGCTGGTATTGTTTTTTGGGTTTAATGTTGGAGAGTGAAGGAGTGAGCTTCATTTGTACCGTACATGATCAATTAATTTGTTGAATATTTTGAACAGTGGGAAAGAAGAATCACTGATATGTCTTTGTCTGAAATTGTCATCTTACAAAATGGTGTAGCTAGACTAGTTATAGATATAATGACCCTTCCATAATCATGATTATGAGCATCATAATTATTCATAGTCATGATTAATTTTAATGGTGATGGTGGTAGTGAAAAAAGTAGAGTAACAACAGAAAACAAGTAAAATAAGAAGACCTAATTCTTCAATTCTATACTATTCATATGGTCCCCAAGGACTCTCTTTCTGAATCTACTGGCTTCTCAATCTATCAACAATGATCCCAACACACGTGCACTATCTTATCATTTCTCTAAACTTTTTTTCTTGTTGCACATTCTGTTTCAGGTGCTCTTTTCTCATGTCTTGATCTTAGATGTTGTTTTTTGTTGTATAATTTTGTTTTTCAGTGTCACAATTTTGGCTTATTTTCTAATCATCCAAGGTGTTTCGATTCAGTAAATTGTCAAATCATAGTTTAGAGAAATAGGTAACTATAGCATGCATTTACATGTACTAGTATTATACTAAAAGAAAGTATAATTATAAGAGTATTCACCAGCATTCTCACTGTCCCTTAAGATACCTATAATTGACATATCTTTCCGTGACAACAACACCTACTAAAAGATAAGTAACCTACAAGCATCAATGAAAAAAAAGTGATGCCTTGTGATTGCTACTCATATTTTATTTGGAAACCACCACCTAAGTGTGAAAAGGATTACTAGCCTACCATACCTCTTATTACATTCTATATCTTTTATATCTTTGTTCATATATAATAATCATTTGTATTATTATAATTTAGATTGGATACAATTATGTCCTATTTGTTATTATAGCATAGACCCACCATTCCCTCCAAAACAAAATAACATTTCACAAATTTCAATTTGGAATATTTTTGGACCCATTTTCCACTTAAAATCATCATTCATCTACTCATGATAATGTACCGAAATTATTTATTTGTATATTGCTTTCTTGTTTGCTTCTTCTTTTTCTGGCATTGTTTTTTCTCTTCTCTCTCTACAAAAGAAATTTATTCATATTTAACCAACAACTTTCGCTTTCTGGCCTTTTCTAGATCCAAATTATTTCGTATAGGGAACTTTATTTTCTCACTTTATTTTTTGTTTTTTCTTTATTATGTGCGGTGCCCACTTTAACCATTTCGTTCACTAGAGAAGTCAAAAAGGAAACAATTATATTTATATATACCACCCTCAAAATAAAATTAATATTTTTATATATTTTTCTCAATTTAAGTTGAAGACATGTCTAATTATTTATTATTTACGTTCAATTGAGTTCGGATGTTTTTACCGTCATTATTATAGGTTGGTTACTTTGTTTTTCTAGCCTTTACTATTTATAATATTTATTGACGTTTACTGTTACATGGGACACGGAGTACTGAACAGAAATAAGTGCCAAGGAGCAAGATCACAAGGTTGTTTTTGCCTTATTTGTCGTTACATAAAATGAAAGTAGCATTCTGTAGATTGGTCACTGCACATTATAGTTTCATTTATGAGAGGGGTGGGAAGAGAGTGTTTTCTGGTGGGTAGGAAGAGATTTTTAGATATAGGAAGAGTGTGTGGGGTTCTTTTCTGCCTTATTCTTAATGCACCTGCTTCTTGTGCTTGTCCTAAACAAACTACAATTTCAATAGTGTCTTTATTGAGTCATGGTTTGGAATAGCAAATTGTGTAAATCTTATTTCAAGGGATCACAAATATTGATATTGCTGAATTTAATATCAGATTTTTAGATTTATACTAACACTTCACAGTTATATGTGTATTTCTAATGAGTATTTTTGCTTTATTTATAAAAAAAGTATATTGTTGCATATTAGAAAACAATTACTTGGTAACAAAAATTGATGAAGAAGAAAACTCTTTAGTTTGCCCGATTGTTACAATATTTAACGATAGAATTAAAGGGAAATTTCATGTTTTTTGTTTTATAATTTTTTAATATTATTTTAATAATAACGTCTACGTAAATCCAGCTTAATTAATAGTAGCGGTGGAATCAGAAAAATTATAAAATCTAGATCAATTAAATTTATTTTTTCATTTAATTCTTTATTAATTAAGAGTTTCAATTTTTGCCATGTAAATTATCTCAATTTCAAAAAAAAATTGAATAAGACTCTGACATGTGTCCAACTTAACCGGACCTTAAATCTGTCTATGACGTTAGTTGCGACTATTATTCTATAATTATCTCGCTTCGATTGTTATCCGATTTGCATTTTGAAATGTGTTCTTGTACACTTTCTTCTTTCAAATAACTCTTCTAATGTTTGTTTTAAAGAAATCCACTTTAATCGCCATTCTCTGGTTGATAGATGCTTTGATCCGTGGATGTGCAACTTTAAATTTGACCTTGTAAAAGGTGTTTTACCTCCAAATCTTAAATTCTTAAATTCTCGGACCATCTGACGTCCAAATCACATTCAGGTATCCATTTTGAGGTCTATAGATTTTCTCCTCACCTCATGCTAATATCTTAACTCCAACTCAGATTAATTATGTACTAATACACGGACACCTAAACTAAATAGTATATACTCAATAAAAAATCACAAAATTGAATCGAATTAAATCGAAATTACAAAAAATTATATTTAATTCAGATGTGTTTGAGTTATTTTCTAACAGAACCGCACAATTTGATTTAGTTTACGGTTTATATTTTATAAACCGAACCAAACCAAACTAAACTGTAATAAATTATTAAATCTTATTAACCAATATACATTTATTTAATTCTTTAGAGAAATCGACATGTATTATGTTAATATTTTATCATATTCTTTGTATGATATTTATTTTAATTTATAAATCATAAAAAATAAAATATTATTTATTTATAAATATTATTTTCATAAAATATATTTTATCATATTTTTTTGTATAATATTTATTTAAAAATATAATCTTATGTATATCATTTTTTAAATTTAGATAAAATTATAATACGCAATTTTATGTATCAAATTATAAATTTATTTTGACAATTATAAATTTTTTTATGGTAATATACGAACGATTAAACATATATATATATATATATATATATATATATATATATATATATATATATATATATATATATATATATATATATATATATATATATATATATATATATATATATATATATATATATATATATATATATATATATATATATATATATATATATATATATATATATATATATATATATATATATATATATATATATATATATATATATATATATATATATATATAACTCAATAATTTTTTTTTTGTAAATAACTGAGCCAACTAAATCAATTTAAACCGCATTAGTTTGATTTGATTTGATTCATTTTTTTTTTTAAAATCAACCGAACTAAATTAAATTACACTTTTTTTTCTTTTAATTCGAGTGTTTTTTATTTTAAAAACGTCCAAACCTCACCGCAAACACTCCTATATACTACAACCTCTAAAAAGCACAATGTAATAGAAATTTGATGAACTGATGACTATTATCATTTCTTCTAATGACAAAAGAAATAGTCAAGTGTCACATGCTAAAAAAAATAGATTATCTATAAAAAAAAATACTAAAGGAAAAGAAATTTTTTTCTCAAATTTCATTACTACGAATAATTTAATATTAGCTCATATGCAAAGAGGATTTTATATCGATTAATCAAGTAAGATAATGAAGGACGATATAAAAATCTGTCATTTTATTCTTCGATTTTTAAATAATTGAAGGGATATTTGAAATAATTATAGGTTCGATCCGCATTAACATTTTTTAGATTTTCAAAAATGTATAATTTTTTACATTAGTTTAGATAATACTCGAAAGGTAAAGTTTTGTTTACAAAATTTTAATTTTAATCTATTTTTTTCGTTTTAATCTGCAAAGTATCAAATTTGTTGACAAATTCTAAATCATCATCAACATCAACAACAACAACAAAAATAAAATCAATAGAATCCTTAAACTTTAAATCTCAACAACAACAACAACAACAACAAAATCAAAAGAATCTTTAAACTTTAAATCTCAACAACAACAACAACAACAACAACTAATAAACAAAATCAATAGAATCGTTAAATATTAAATCTCAACAACAACAACAACAACAACAATATTAAACATTTTACTTCATACAACAAGTAACATTAATAAATTACTTTCATATTTTCCTACTTAACATTAAATATTTTTAACAATGAATTATTAGCACTACTAGAAAACTACTTTTCATGACAACGATTTCACCTCACATATCAAAAAACCGAGATATAACCTCTTGAGGCGCCATATTTTTTTATTCTTAAAAAAACATA